TTTTTTTTTTTTTTTTTGCCAAAACGATAGATAATATTATAAATCAAAATGCACAAATATGCGAATAACAACAATCAACGACTGAATACACAACAGCCAACAGCTAAAAAAGTGGGAAGACAGGTCAAAAGACCGCCTAAAATCCCAGCTAGCAGGGCTAGAATAAAAACACTCGCAACTAAACTAACCAACTACACAATTGCCAAACACAAACTAAAACTAAAACAACTAAAAAACCTAAACTAAAACTAAAACACAACTAAAAAGAATAAAATTTTTACTATGCAATTCATTATAAAACATAATATTCATCTATTTACCTATCCATACCACATTATTTTATTTTTTTCAGTCGTATATCAATTTTAATAATACATTATTCTATTATTTTTTCTAAAAAGAAAAAATCTAACGCTTTCATCTCAAAATAAATAAATAAATAAAGAATGGGAAGCATATCAAATCCAACCCATACTTCCAGAATTTAAACCACTGCTAGTTGTTGGAGCTTCCACTTTATATACACGACAATAAATGCTGCTGTCAATTGTTTTGCTTTCCAAAGTATTTATTTAGAAGGTTGACTCTACTATGTGACTTCATAGCAAAACTGTTTTCTGTAAGTAGTCTAATTGTACTTGTCAGAATACAATTGTAATTCTAATACAATTTTATGTTGTTTGATACAATCGTGTTGAATTATGAATGTTACATTTACATGAACAGATAGAAAATTCGTCTTCCAGTCATAAGCTGCTATTTTGCCGGAAGCCATGGCGGTTTTGGGGTGCGGACGTTAGCTCGGTGGTCGTGCGAGGGGCTAGGCTGGTGGTTGTTTTGACGCAGTCGGCTTGAGGCCCGAGCCTCGATCTCCCTATTTTCGACTGTCCCTGGTGCTAGGACATTGGATTTCTCCGGGCGGTGGCGGTTCTTGTGGCTGCGCCCACAGGGTTATGGCGAGGGAGGGCAGCGGCTCAGGCCTACTGATGTATGCCTCCCAACTAGATTCTGTTGTTGGCTGATTTTTGTCGACTTTTGGTTGTTGTCTAGTTTGTGTGTGCTTTGTTTATATAGTTCTATCATTGGACAAAAAAAAAAAAGGTGATAAGCTGTTATTTAACTAACCTAAATTTAAACAAAAATGTAAAACCATATGATTGTAATGAAATGATCATATACCCCCACATTAACATGTGCTCATCAATCACGTGTCAAGATTTCGTAATCTTTCAACTGTATAGTCATTGATATTTCGATTTCTTGTCACATCAGTTGGACTTTTCAACTCGAGAACTTCGTCGGTAGGAGAGTGAAACCGATTAATAATTATTGGAATATTAAATTGACATAATTCGAATAACTCTTGGATTATTTAATTATATTCCTTGTAGTTGTATTTCATTTGAAAGGCAATCAAGACAAGATCAAGGAAGATTGACATATTTGTTATTTAATGCATATTAACTTTGATATTATCTCGATTTGTTTCCTTATTTAGGTAAGGAACACGAAAGGAAAGAGCTTGAAAAGTAACTTCAACATGAAGACGGAAGGAGAATGTTGAAGATATAAACCAACTCGTTCAAGATCTAGTAAATCTTAGAAATAAGGAAAGTCATATTTCTACACGGCTTCAGAACTGTCATATTCAAGATGATTATAAGATCTCAAAGACTGCAAAATGAAGTAAACTTGCTCCTTATGAAAATTTTGAAGACTTATGATTGAAAGAAGATGAATACATATTTAGAAGTCTTTGTTTTTATAATGTACGAGAGAGAGAGAGAGAGAGAGAGAGAGAGAGAGAGAGAGACCATATAACTCATTTTGCATTGTATTTAATAACTTGAGTCTATCTTTCAATGTGTTTTTTTACGGGTTGAAAGGTTGATATTTATATAATTTTTGTTTTCATTCACGATACTTTCCGTAAATGATTGTGTGCCTGTGAAGGGATCCAACACAAGCTCTTAAGTACACATGTTAGCCAAAAAACATAACTAAAAAAAATGGAGTGTAGGAACAATAAGACCGAAAGACAGTTCTAGTCTTGTAAATATGATCTACGTTACGCTTTACTAGTGAAAGTGTCTTGAGGAGAAGTGATACGCTCTTCGAAGAAACTTTCTTAAATCAATTCTGCATTTATTTATGTGTTGTATGCAACAGCCGCACTTGTGCATCCTTCCACACACATTGTTTCAACCAAGATACTCGATCACGAAAACTCCCAAAGGATGAAAGCCCAATCATGTTAAACAAGGCCCACTATGCACATCGACCCTCTCGCAGCCGGCCCAAGATCGCAAAATTAGGCTTGCCGATCCTCCGATCGGCCTGCCGATTGCCCTCGGAGTCTTTTCGGAGTAGCATGCTGATCATCCACCAGTCTAAAATTGTGAACTCATATAGCTGGTGGCATCGCCGAATTTGTCCCATCCAATTCTGCATGGAAACATGCGGCACCACCTTATGCCTCTAGCTGACACCTATTATTTAATATGCCATCATCTTTTTTTTTCCCTGTATAAATACCAACCCCCGAGTCCACCATTAAGGGCATCACAAGCACCAGTATCATCTTCTATCCTTTGTGATTTAAAGACCACCTTCTTCCCCGTATCACTACACAGTACATGATCGATCTACTAAAGATCATATACAAATACTTCTCATACTCGGTTGTATTCACTATACAAAGTTTCTAATAAAATTTTATAAAAATAATCTCCTTGCCGATCGTCAGAGCCGATCGACAATATCATTGTCTTGTTTTCTTTTTACGCATATTTAATTTATTTCAATCTTTCAATATTCTATATCATTGTAACACACCATAATTATTCAATAAACCCCGATTAAGCCACTGTAAAATGCACTATCTATAATAGTTGGCAGTCGAGCGTCAATAGAATGGTGTTAGATGAAGGGGGTCATTAAGGATTGCATCTGAACCTCACTCTTAGATGGGGATGGCAATTTGGCCTTGACCCGACCCGAACTGGCCCGAGCTGTAGCCTTTGGGGCGGGTTGGGCCTGCCCCGTTACCCAAAACGGGCCAGGTCGGGTCCGCCCCGTAACATTACGGGGCAGGTCCGAGTATTGATATCCGTCCCGCCTCGATCTGCCCCGCCCCGAACTGGTCCAGCCCAACACATAATAGTTATGTATCTGAGAGGTCAAGCCCATTTTATTATCTCTCTTTTTTTCCCTCTGTTACTCACTCTCTTCCGGACTCTTCTTTTTTTTTTTTTCCACTTCTCCTTTTCTTCTCCCCTTTATCTCGTTATCGCTTCTTATTTTCGTCTCTTCTTTTCCATTCTTTATCTATCTCCTTGCAAAATATCTCTTATAACCTTCTCTATTCTTATCTCCTTTTTCATCTATGTCACACACTTCACGAATCTGAGTTGCACCGCCCGAAATCCTCAGTTGCGGCTGCGAGCTGAGTGGCTTACCAAGCAACCTTCCATTGTTGTTTGACCATATGCCCTTGCTCTTGTCATCTATATTCGAGATGGGTAGATCAATTATGGTTGTAAATATTTAGGGTTTGGGGATTTGATTTACTTATTTTTGTGATATCCATTTGTATAGAGTTTTTTTATTTATTTTTTCTTTTTTTTCTTGAGATTTGAATATTAATGTTTGATGCAGTTTGCATCATCTTTATTAAAAAAAATTGAGATTTGAAAATTGATGCACAGATTGCATCGTTTGTTAAAAGAAAAAAGAGAATTGGTGCAGGGCAGGACGAGTCAGACTGCCCCGGCATGGGCCAGGTCTCGGGCCCGTCTTGGTTGACCCATAACGGGTCACGGTCTAGGTAGGGCCATGGCCAGAAGGTCGCGGGCCAGGTCTAGGCATGGAACTACCCGGCTCGACCTGGCCCATTGCCATCTTCACTCTTAGATAAAGCCCTAACCCAATGAGATTTTTCATACTCCTTTCATCTTGCTTTTCCATATTTCTTTGTGGGATGGAGGGCAGAACAATCAACCTTATCTTCCTATGATCGACATGATTAATTGACAGCTTAGTTGACCCCTCCGCTTCCGCTTACCTTGTTACTCTGTCTATATTTTCCTCAAAATGTCCACATATTTGTTTTTTGTTTTCTCTTCGCACAAAAAAGCTCAGATCTATACTTTTGGGCATACCCTTATATTAGCACACTTTCAACAAGAACATGAATCGATTAGCTCACCCTCGACAAGAACGAGAGGGTGGATGGTTCATTGGTCCTTGAGAAATCACGACCCTCTAAGGACGGGGGCTTGAGAAAATCAGATAGAAATGCCCTCCATGAAATATAACCATATCCTCTCTTTAGGTCCAGAAAATCCCAACCTAGCTATCAACCTCATAACGGTTGGGAGATCTTTAACATATATTAGTCAAGATCGCTCGCCTGGTCTGTTGTCACGATGGGTTGGTACTACACGCCCGAGGACCAAGCCAGACAATGACCTGTGGAGTAAACCTCAACCGCATGTCGAGATAAACCAACAAGGTCAGCTGGAGAGCGCAAACTGTCGATATTATCAATAGCGATCCCGCAGATTGACACAAACACAACTGATTTCTGTAGTGATGCTCCCTGGGATATTTTAGTACAATATCATCCCATTGCAAGAACATCATACGTAAATTTCTACCGATCCATGACCGCCACCTTCGATCTCACGAAAAAGAGCTGATCTATGTGAAGATTCTCCACAGGATGTTTTAGGCACAATATTTTCCATCAAAAGAGCGACATGCTGACCAGTCTTCATTTCTGCAAACAGGCACGTAAGCCGATCTACAACAACGACACCATAAGATGAAAAAGAGGTTTTTTCTATCATGCATATCTATATTAGCAATTTTTTTGTAGTAGATATGTATAGAATCTACAAAGTTACACTCGTTCAAACAACTAGTCTTATGCCAATTTTCATATAGAAATGTATTCTTTCTTCTTTTATACGATCGCCGCCCTTGTTTATATATATATATTTGACCGTTGCATGAGATGCTATCTTTTCAATCGCCGCACATAAATTTCTAAAAGAATGCTATGATATTGTAATTTCTTAAGCAAGAGACGAGCGTGCACAAGGCAGATATCCAATCGACATCCCACTTTACCCGAGACCTCAACTCTAAAAGGATATCCTCTGACCAAGTAACGATAAATTTTTTCGCAAAAAAAAACATCTCCGCGAAAGTACTTCGGCTCGTCGATGATACCTTTCTTATAAGACAAAGGCGATCTTCACGATAATATTCCAGCCTCTCATCGATACCTTTCTTACAAGACAAAGGTGATTTACACTAAAATATACGATCTGTCAACAATACCATTCTTATAATATAAAAGAGATCACCACGAAATCATTTCTGTCAGTCGACGATGAAAGTCTTACAAATAAAGGGAAATCTTCATAGAAGTAGTTCGGCCGGTCGACGGTCTTGTTTACAACAAAAGAAGTCTTATAAAAGATGTTGTATACAAAGATCTCCCTACAATTTAAGAGGTGGTCCCTATGAAAAATTATTTTTACCGATCATTGATCGCCTCTCAACAACCAAACAACGATCTCTTGTAAACGATCGCTCTTACCATATCGATCGCTAGAGGTACTTTTCAAATAACAAAGGCGGGACCTTACAACATAAGATGGAGAACCCTTAGCTGCTTTATAAAACACAACGACCACTCTAAGTCATATTAACATGCCTTGGCCGTCAACATGATACAATCATCACTAAAGAAAGAAACAACCAAAGTCAACTACAAAGAATTTAATCACTCCAGAGTATTTTCTCTTCGAATCGCCGCTTTTTACAATAAAACACGTCTGTGTGGTCTACTTTTTGTCATTTGCAGACACGACCACTCAAGGGTAATCTCAGACCCTCATTTCTAAAGAAATTCTTTGCCCTTGCTGATTCTACGATAACCTTTTCCTAGAGACGCAATTTACCTACCCATGGCAATCTCGATTTGTTTGGTCTAAACCTTGAGGCGATCTCT